TAACCCATATACCCTTATTACCCGCTTCTGCAGTAACCCATATACCCTTATTACCCGCTTCTGCAGTAACCCATATACCCTTATTACCCGCTTCTGCAGTAACCCATATACCCTTATTACCCGCTTCTGCAGTAACCCATATACCCTTATTACCCGCTTCTGCTTCTGCTAGGCAGACAGTTACTTAAACTTTTAATCTCTTCCCTGACTGGCATGAGGAAACGCTGTGCAGCAGTTGACTCCGGCACGGGTGTCTGTGCGAAATGGAGCTATTTAAGCGTATAGGCAGGCGTGCAGCCCTGCTAACGCTAATCCAGCCGGCGCCTTATTTTAGCCTCCCAACTGCACCAGCCCCTTGATGCATCGGCTCAGGCTGACCCTCCGCTCAACCCAAATGAGAGGAGTGGCTGCGGTTTGTGAACGCGGCCTGGAGGGGGTAGGGATCCACAGCGGGGACAGACGCCGCAGAGGTGCATGTGTCACATGGCAGGGGGGGGGGGGGGGGATGTCAAGGTGGCCCCTGGGGATACTGATGGTAGGTGGCTCTCTGGCAGAGTGACAGTGACATGCCTTGGGGGGGTCGAGGTGCAGACACACACTGACACATCGTGGGAGGGGGGCAGCTGCTGAGGCGTTTCTCTCAGTATGCAGCCCTGCCCCTCCCCTCATCTGTCTCCATCTGCCCCTGCCCCACCCTGCGCTGTAGCAATCGGGGGGTCCCGTCCCCCCCGCCCACCGCAGCCATGTTCTGGGGCACTGTGGGGGCTCTCGCTGCCCGCCGCCAAACGCCACGCCCTCTGTAGGAAGCGCTCGGCCGGAAGACGCTGCGTAATGAAGTGAGCTGTGCAGAAATGGCTACCGCTCCAGTTACAGCATAATTCATTTCAAACCACAAAACAGCGGAACTAATGGGAAATTAATAATGCTGCTGCGAGAGCCGTAGATCAGGCCTAACTCCTGACGGACGTCTCTGACGCACTCGCGATGCCTCCGCGGGCGTCGCGGTCCCGCTGGGCCGGCGTGGGCGTCCGTCAGGCATAGGCAGCGCGGCGCGACCTTGACACGGCGCTCTAACTCTGACCCGCTTAGAGCCCCGTCTGCTGGGTGTGACTGCGGCTCAGGTAGCGGGGCGCGGCGCTCTCCTGCCGCTCTCCTGCCGCTCTCCTGCCGGCCTCCCGTCGATAGCGGCCGCCTCAGGCACAGGGCTCCGGTTGCCGTCTGGTGTCGGATGCTGCCTCCGGCCCTCTACGGTTTCTTCCTGGCAGCCGGTGGTCTGGTTCTTCCTGGTCATCTATTCTGGGGGAGGAGGGGGCCACAGGGGAGGTGGAAACATTGAGTTATTTATTAAAATACTCCCTGGTGATTGAAAAACAAAAAACAGAGTGTAATATACATATTAATCACGTTGCGTGAAAGAAATTATGCCCTAGAGTAAAACCGTTTACAGGTCAGCCGGACAACAGCAGCAGCCTTCAGCAGGTGATGAACGGTCAGCTGGAGTGCTGTACCTTGGGGGGGGGGGGGGGGGGGTGCAGAGCCCCACCCAGAGTGCCCAGTGTCCCCCATCGCCCTCTCCTTACCTCTGCACATCATCTGTCATGGGCAGGGTTAGCGCTGCTGCTCATGGAGGCTGCTAAAGTGTTGCCATTGGTAACAGAGGCTGCTGTGGGTAATAACCACCACTGGCACCGATGGCTCCTCCCACCGTGGTCATTGCTCCGCCTGAAGGGGGCGGAGATCTGTCCTTATGACTTAAGATTGGCCAATCGGGGCATTCCAGAGTTACTGGAATATGGAAAATGTTTGTTAGATACGGTCGTTAGGCTTCTTCAGTGAGTGAAAATATGGGAGGTGGGGTGCAGATGACGGGAGGGAATATAAAGTCCAGGGCCTGGGGAGGGGGGAGATGTAATGTGACAGACGATGCGAAGGTGTGTGTGTGTGTTTGTGTGTTAGAGAGAGTGAGTTTGAGTCTAATATGGAGGAAAAATCTATAATGAACTGCAGTGGAGGTCATGGTCTGTTTATCATCAAAGTTCTGCTGGCGCTGGGTTATTTGTGGTGCTCTCAGTGGATTGTGGGAGTTTTCTGTAATTATGAAGTATGCTGCTGAGGTTGGGGAGCTTATCTTTTATCCGAGAGAGCTTCCATCTCCTCTTCTGTAGTCATGGTGTCAGTTTGTACACGGAGCTGCCATCAGGGGCTTTAAAATGGCAGCAGGGCGTGTAAAAGGTTGTAGCTCTGCTGATGTGGGACTGCAATCCTGAAGCTTATTCTGCTGATGTTCCACAGTGAGAATCTTTGCTCATGTCACCGCAAGATGAACTGGGTAAAAGGGGCAGCAGTAAAATGTTTATATAAAAAGTGGCGTTTTGTAAGTTTATGCTACATGCTCCTCTTTATAGGACCCGTAGGACAGGCCACTGCGTAAATACTGCTCCCCCTGCTGACTACTACAGGAATAATGTAGCCCCACTGAAGCCATTCCACACATGTGGCACACTAGGCAAGCTTTACCACGCCCCCCTCCTCCGCCATTAACAGATGGCCGATTTAAAAAAAAAAAAAAAAAAAGATGAGATGGTGGCGAATGCAGAAGTTATCATCTGGGGGCCCCCTTCAGAAGATGCCGTCCTGCGCAGTTGCCCATGTTGCCCTTGCAGGGATCTAGGGCAGACGTGGAGCTTTCTGGCTGTGAGACCAGCCTGAGTCCCTGGCTCTGGAACACGGCAGGAGCTTTGCTGAGTGACCTTCTTCCCTCTCCGCCCCCGCAGACCCTAAGCCGCTGTACCGGGAGGAGGCCATCGTCATCGCCCTGGCGTGCGTCTCCGTCGTGGCGGTCCTCATCGTGGCGCTCTTCTTCGGGTATCGCATGCTGACAGGCAGGTTTCTCTGTTCCTCTCTGGACACGGGCCCCCTTTCCGAGCGCCTGTCACCTGACCGTCACCTGTGTGTGTTTGTGTCCAGGAGACCGGAAACAGGGTCTGCACAACATGGATGAGATGGAGGCAGCCGCATCAGAGCCCTCGTTGGACCTGGACAGCCTGAAGCTTCTTGAGGCAAGCTCTGGGCGACAGGGGCCGTGCGTTACCTATCCGCTTAGTGGATGTTTCGACCCCCCGCTTTGGTTCCTGCATTTCTGTTTATTTCCTGCTTCCTCTGCTTAATCTCTCCTTTTTCTATTTCCCTGCAGCTGATTGGCCGAGGCCGGTATGGCTCGGTCTACAAGGGCTCTCTGGACGAGCACCCCGTGGCAGTCAAAGTGTTTACCTACGCCAATCGGCAGAACTTTGTCAATGAGCGCACCATATACCGGCTCCCCCTGATGGAGCAAGACAATATTGCACGCTTCATTGTGGCTGACGAGCGGCTGACCACGGATGGGCGGATGGAGTACCTGCTGGTGATGGAGTATTATCCCCATGTGAGTACTTCTCCCCAAGATAATATTCAGTATTTCCGCCACATGATTAATGATGGAGTCCTACCCTTTGTGAGTACTGGAGTACTTCTGTCCATGTTAATATTCAGTACTGCCATCATGTAAGTAGTGATGGAGTCCTACCCTTTGAGAGTACTGGAGTACTTTTTCCAGAACACTTTCCCTTGGTTGCCGCTCGACATTCTAGCCAAATGAAAGTAGCCGTGATCTCCGGGCCTGCCCCCCCCCGGTTCAGCAGGCATATGCTTGCAGGCTGTGTCCGAAAGGCTCCCCCTGGCATACGGAGCTGGACGCCCGGCCCTCTGCTCTCGGTGCCCCGGCTGGCTTTCAATGGCAGGGGGGTCTGCAGGCCTTGTGGAGTTAAAGCTGGAGAGCTTTAGTAATAGTAGCTGGTGGGCTGAGAGGGAGGCATTAGTGCCAAAGGCTGATAAGGCGGCCGGAGGTGGCTGGCAGGACCCGCAGAGCGCTGTGGGAAACGTGGAGAGCAAGGTTACACCGGCATGCCGCTCCAGTGGAATGTGCTGCTGGTGGCGGGGATGGGGGGGCTCGCTGATAAGCCTGGCCCACATCTTCTGCTCCCGTCCTCTTCATGCCTGCCTGCCCCCACTGGCTGCCTGCCCCCACTGGCCGTTGCTGCTGTTTAAATTGAATCTGTTATGTTTTTATTTCACTCAACCTTTACCTTTCCCGTACAGTAAGTCAGTTTCCACTCGACTGCTGGATCAGCTGACCCCTGTCTTTCTTTCACTCTCTTCTCTCCTACGCCCCCGCCCCCATCTATCACTATACTCTCGGCACTCCTCCCCCAGGGCTCTCTGTGCCGATACCTGAGTCTGCAGACAGGGGACTGGGTGAGCTGCTGCCGCGTGGCCCACTCAGTGACGCGGGGTCTGGCCTACCTGCACACGGAGCTGCTGCGCACAGGTGAGCCTCAGCCCACAGTGCCCCCTACTGACAATAACAATGAATTGTCAAACATTCAGATCATGCACTCTGACACCGTTATAACATGTAGAACTTTGGTAACACTTTACATTAACGACACCTTCATAATGCATTCATAGAACATTCATAAGCAGCATGTAAGTATACCTTAACATAACGTAACAGCTATAAAATACATTAATAACAAACATATGATAACAACAAACATTATAATTGTTTAATGTTTGCTATTAATGTCCATTAAAGCTGTTTAAGTATGTCAGGATGTTAAGGTATACTTATGAATGTTCTATGAATGCATTATGAAGGTGCAGTTAATGTAAAGTGTTACCGAATCTTCCGTCACTAGAGGAGAACAGTGCTTCCTTGATCAGAAACGGTCAGTCCTGAGGATGCCACAGTTTGTTCAAATACATGCCAGCAGTTGTACGATGGCTGCCAGGCCATGTGCTCCACCAAACCACACGCTGTCCTTCCTGCCTCCATGACTCGTAACCAAAGCCAAGCCGTCACTTAATTCCCCTTCTGTGTGTCACTCGCGTGTCGTCGCTACGAAACGGCCGCGGAGAAGGCATGGAGCCAGATGAACTGCCTGGTTAATGTCTGTGGTCAGTATTTACCTGCGCGGTGGCTCGCTCGGCACGCAGTGACACCCAAAAGCCGTGGCGTCGCGAGCCGCGGCGGAAAGGTCTGGAACTCGGCCCGGCCGACTTCCGAGGCCTCGGTGGTGATCTGTGAAGGCGGCGATCAGACGTAAAACCGGGTAGAGTAATGCATGCAAGCAAGAGTCTACGACTGCAGGAAATTCCTTTGTGGATACTTTTTAGTATCCGGTGAACAATCCCCTCCGTCACTGACTCAGCCCCTATTTATTTTTCTCAGTTTTTGTTTATTTTACAGCCCCCCCCCCCTTAAGTGAGGCTGGCCACCAGCTGACTAGAGAGGATGTAGCCTTGACCTTCACCGACGTGTGTGCGAGCGCTGTCTTGGGGGTGATGTCGGGAGTGGGGGGGGAGGGGGGGTGTCCGGGGGAGTCCAAATAAGGCTTCATAATAGCATCTATCCTTTTTTTTCCCCCCATGCATTTGTATTTTAGTCGCCATGGTAACAATCCTCACCCGAAGGCTCTGGCTCCTGTGTGCTCAGCGTGATGCACGCGTGTTTATGCGGCACAGCAGTCGGCATAAGAGTGAGAGATCCACACGGGGGGGGGGGCACTGAGGGAACCTCGGGGAAGAGAGACAGACGGAGGCCGGTGTGGAGGCCTCTCGCTCCGAAACCGCATCTCGCCCAGGCAGTCTGTTTGCCGTGCCTCATGGGGGGGCACGATGAATAAGCTTGAACTTTACATTCTGAAGCAGAAGGGTGGTGGGGAGAGAGGGGGTGCCCCACGGTTGTAGATGCATTGTTCTTACATGGCGACCCCTAGTGGATGTTTGCTGGTGGCAGGAATTCTGAGCTCTCGGGCTTTTCAGGTATTAGGATAAGAGTTTCTGCTGCTGGAAGCCAAAACAGCTTCTGTGAAATAATACACTTCAAAAATGGGTAAAAATAATTTAGCTGTCTTAACAACATACAACAGAGTAACCATTTCTTAGCCCTGGGCTGAGTGGGTCTGCCGGCCTCCAGGGGACTCCTGGGGTGTTGATGGCTCTGCTGTCCGTGTCTCTGACTCGTCAGACCTGTACAAGCCGGCGGTGTCCCACCGTGACCTCAACAGCAGGAACGTCCTGGTGAAGAGCGACGGCACATGCGTCATCAGCGACTTCGGCCTGTCCATGAAGCTGACGGGGAACCGGCTGGTGCGTCCCGGCGAGGAGGAGAACGCCGCCATCAGCGAGGTGAGCGCTCGGTTCTGGGGAGAGCCCAAACCCCGCCCCGCCATCGCCAGCTCCACCCTGCTCCCTCTGACGTCCGGCCTCCTCCCCAGGTGGGCACCATCCGCTACATGGCCCCCGAGGTCCTGGAGGGAGCGGTGAACCTGCGCGACTGCGAGTCAGCCCTTAAGCAGGTGGACATGTACGCCCTCGGCCTTATTTACTGGGAGACCTTCATGCGCTGCACCGACCTCTTCCCCGGTGAGCCCCCCCAACCCGCAGCCCCCCCCACCTGGGTGTGCCCTGGCCCCCGCGTGCGTGTCCGCGCGTGACCCCGTCGTTCTCCCCCCCGCATGCAGGTGAGGCGGTCCCGGAGTACCAGATGGCCTTTCAGGCCGAGGCAGGAAACCACCCGTCCTTTGAGGACATGCAGGTGCTGGTGTCCCGCGAGAAGCAGCGGCCGAAGTTCCCTGAGGCCTGGAAGGAGAACAGCCTGGTGAGGCAGCACATACAGGCCGGCTCCAAGACTCCACGTCTCCCCCTAGTGGTTCAGGGCTGGGCGGACTGTCCTCACCCCTCACCCTTTTGCTCCCGCAGGCGGTGCGCTCCCTGAAGGAGACGATGGAGGACTGCTGGGACCAGGACGCGGAGGCGCGTCTCACGGCCCAGTGCGCCGAGGAGCGCATGGCGGAGCTGCTGCTCATCTGGGACCGGAACAAGTCCGTCAGCCCCACCGTGAACCCCGCGGTCAATCCGGCAGTGAACCCCACCAGCACGGCGCTGCAGAATGAGAGGTGAGTGTCCGGGGAAGCTAGTTTCTCTGCAGTCCTCAGTGCAGATGGTCTGCAATGACTCAGGTTACCAGCAGAGTCTGGGATACATTTACATTTAACCCAGACTACCTTAAATCTCCCAAGTTACCTGGCTAAGCAAGAAATCCTGCTTTCTTAAAAAGGCTGCAGTCCTAGTCCGGTTAATTGTTAACCATTGTTAGCAATATCCAACAACACATTTCGCTGTATTTTGCAGCAATAAGTCCACAGATAGAGGCTGGACAGAACTGTGTGTACGACCAATTTAATGAGCCACAATTAAGACTAATAACCAGTACGTAACTACAGCTTGAGCCTCTGTACCATCTTGAATTCTGAGGTCAGGGTTGTGTAGATTCCTCCGACTTTCTGGGTCGGAGCGACGTCACGAGGGGACGTTCCAGTTGAAATTTCCGACTAAGAACTCGGAATTTCCGAGTTACGAGTTCAAACGGAATGCAGCATTAATCCTGGGCGGCCCTGCCGCTTGGCTTCCCGTGTGTGGAGGGGCAGCTCGTCGATGTGGGGACCTAGACCAGGGCTCCAGATGCCGACTAAAATACCCACCAGCGGGACTACACTTTTTTATTTAGCGACTAGTTTTTTATTTTTCAAATAAAAAGTTAAGACAAATAAAGTGGCAACTTTTAATTATGTGCAGACATTTACTCCGGCAAAGTGGGAGGAACTTCTGCGAGATTTTGCAATACTTTCCCATCATTATTAATAACTGGATTGTATTCGTTTAAGGTATAAAAGATAGAATTTATTTATAGATTAATAAGTATACACGTGTCCAGTTAGATGTGTTTTTATACCTATTTATTAACACAGTTCTGTGTCCGTTTCATTTATTTTTCTTTTGTATAAGACAATGCAGAAGACGATAGCAGGCAGGTCAGATAGCTCAGATAGGAGAAATTAGGGGCAGTGTGAGGTAGACTGGAGACAAAATGTGTCATGTAAGTATTTTTTATTTATTTTACATTTAACATGTGATTATGGCTCCTAAAAAGCAATTGGCTCTTAAATATTTTGGGTTTAGGAGCCAGTGGCTCCCAAAGTTTTTTTTTTTGTTGTTTTTTTGTCTGCGCTAACTGTCTTGTCGGGGCCTGCTCTCTGTCGACTTGCAGGAACTTGTCTCACAGCCGGCGGGCACCCAAGATGGGGCCCTACCCCGAATACTCATCCTCCTCCTACATCGAGGACCACGAGGGCGGCGTGGTGAAGACCCTCCCAGGCGAGGGGTCCACTGTGGGCAGCGGCTCCGTCGGTGGCTCGGCCGGCCTGCCGGGTGGCGGCGAGAAGAACCGCAACTCCATCAATTACGAGCGGCAGCAGGCACAGGCCCGGCTGCCCAGCCCCGAGACCAGCGGTACCAGCCTGTCCAACGCGACGGGCAGCAGCACCACAGCGATGGGGCTCACACCCAGTACCGTCATGACGACCATCTCGGAATCGGGGTACCCTGAAGAGGGGTCAGCCGCGATGACAGGGACGACTGTGGTCCCTGTGTGCCTGCAGCTTACAGAGGAAGACCTGAAGACCACCAAGCTGGACCCAAAGGAGGTGGACAAGAACCTGAAGGAGAGTTCGGATGAGAACCTGATGGAGCACTCGCTGAAGCAGTTCTGTGCCCCCGACCCGCTCAGCTCGGGGAGTTCCAGCCTCCTGTACCCTCTCATCAAGCTGGCTGCCGAGGTCACCGGGGGTGCGGGGTCGGGGGCCATGGGACAGGCGGAGTTTGGGATGGGAGTGGGTGAAGCTCAGCCCCCCGTGTTCCCCCTGCCCAAGCAGCAGAACCTCCCCAAGAGGCCCAGCAGCCTGCCTCTGGGCTCCAAAACCCCCAGCAAGGAGCCGTCCTCACTGCGGCTGAAGTTCGGCAAGCACAGCAAGTCCAACCTGAAGCAGGTGGAAACGGGAGTGGCCAAGATGAACGCCGTCACTGCCGGAGAGCCCCACCTGGCAACCGTCGCCATCAACGGGCCGGCTTCCCGCGTGGGCGGCATGGCCGACGGGTACACAGGCCCGGCCTCATCGCCTGTCGGTGGCTCCTACGGGAACGCCAGCCTGGCTGGGCCCAAGATGGACGGCCAGGTGCCGCTGCTGCAGACCCAGCTGAGCGGAGAAGATGGCCGCCTGAACTCTAGCCCGGACGAGCACGAGCCCCTGCTCCGGAGGGAGCAGCCAGCCGCTCGGGAGCAACGCATCCTGGACCGGCTTGCGGACCACCACCATCTGGCGGGCCGCACCAACTCCAACAACAACAACAGCAACAACAACACCCACAACGGTGACGGAAACGGCAACAGGACCGTCGCTGCGGCCTGTCCCCCCGCCGAGCTGCCCGCGGTACCGCAGGTTTCCGCCCCCGCAGCCCCAGGGCCCCCGGAGCAGGCCCCGTTACGCCCGGAGCGGCCCAGGAGAGCCGAGCGGCCCAACTCCCTAGACCTGTCTGCCTCCCCCCTCGAGTGCTACTCCCTGACAGGTGAGTCCAGTAGGTGGACTCTCTCTGAACCCGACCGGAGCCCCTCGGGTCGCCCCAGTCTTCCTGGCCCAGGAAGTCGAGCGCACTTCCCGCCCGGCGCCGTTACACCATGCTGGCTGCCTCGCCAATGGTTTTTGTGCTTAGAACTTTAGCGCTTTGTGGGAGAGAACATTCCAGAATGCTGATAAGAGTCCCTAGGACGCTGTGCTTGGGTGCAAGCCAGAGGGGAGATGGCCAGATACCCAGGGATAGGAGGCTCTGCATCGCTTCTGACGGACCCGCATTAGGAATGCGAACACATAGCTATGGGGTCTTGTTGGAAAGCAAACAATGCATTCGTTTGACTTTTTGATGCCTCGCAATGAATAGTGATAAATTTAGCAATAGATTAAATTTAGTTTATATGATGGATATAGAGAGCAGAGGTGGGAGGGGATGCAGGATTTCCTGTCTCTTAGATGCTCTCTGTAATTTCCCTTGCAGAAGGCTGGGTTTATCACCCTGAACAGTTTGCTATTCTCTTCTTTAGCCGATGCTTTTATTTATAACAACGTTTGTTTTTTACGTAAATCAAGATCAAGTGCTTACAAAACATCGATAACGTCTCTCCCGCCACTCCAGCTGGCTTTTGTCAGCCCATGTCCTTACACTACGCTACCTACTGCTTGGGTAAAACGTGAACTTTCAGTATTTCCACACATGTTATAGTACTATTGCATTAGTCATTGTAACATAAATAGAGCCTCACTATTTGTGTCCTCGGACCAGGTAGCAATACTGATTATAGCCAGTAGAGGGACCTTTAGAATGATTTATGAGACCCTGCACAATCTGCAGATGCACGGACTGGATAAAGCGTTCTTTTTGAAGAGGTTTACACTTTCCCAATCTGTTTGCATCTCACCCAACCCTTCCAGGCGACGGGGTGCCACAGGACGGGAGAGCTGGATCAGGAGAGAAGATTAAGAGACGCGTGAAGACACCTTACTCGCTGAAAAGCTGGCGGCCGTCCAGCTGGGCGGTCTCCAGCAGCACCCTGGACGGGGAGGTCAACACCAACGGTGGAAGCGTGCAGTGCGACCACATCCAGCAGCAGAATAGGAGCCGGCCCGGCACTGGCCGGTCTAAATCGAGCACCGCTGTTTTCCTTGTAGGTGGGGGCACTGCCACCTCCACTGCGGCCCTGGCCTCCGACCCAACCAGCATGACCTGCCTGTGAACTATGGCCGACCGGGGGTGGGGCTCAAGGAGCTGGGGCTCGTTGAAGAAGATTCGTCCTTTTCCCCAAAACCGACGTGGTTCAATTTGTGTTTCGAAAAGTTGTTTATTGAAAAGAAGAACAGACTTAAAAGCAGCAGACAAGCGCTTCATTTCGTATTTTCCCTTCTCGTCGTTCTCCAACTGCTTTAAACAGAACCAAGCTATGCAGCAGAGTTGGCGTCAGAGGCTGTTCCTTGTATACGTCATTTCACGTCCATCTTTCTGTGTCTGTGTACGTCTGAAAAATGTATTTTTGTTGCACTTTTCTAAAAGTTCTTAATCGCACGGTTAAATCTGTCTCTCCTTTCACCACACAAAAAAGTGGTCTTAAAAAAAAATATTGGGGGGGGGGGGGGAGTACAATCGTAACCATGTGTTGATTTTACAATCAGTCAGCCACCCATTTTAATCGCAGTTCATGTGTGAAACAATCTAACAGGAAGAGTGGTGGACTATAAGACAGGGTTGCCTGCTATGACTTACCCCCACTGATTTGTTAATTTTATGCAAAGTAGATTTATTTGTATGTTTTAATATACGTTTACTTGTCTCGTTTAATGTCTCTGTATCCATTTTGTATATTTTATGATGTGCAATAGGCTTTAGCTTTGAGCTACAGTTTTATTTTAAATGCTTTTTTTAAATATTTGCAGCTTTTTTGATATCGTAAGCGGTGCACTTGTAGCCAGCACTTGGCCTGCGTTTAGTCATATCCGCGTTCTATTCTTTTGAGAGACAATCGTCCATCTCCTCAGTCGGCTCGCAGCTGGAAGGAACGGAAACAAAATGGTCTCTGTGATGGAGGGAGCCGCTTCTCTGTTACGTTTCACCTCCTAGACTGAAGCGGAAGGTGAACGGCAAGAGGTGAAGCCAACGACCACAGTGGAGACGAAATGCTTGAGGTTGTGGGAAAAACTGGATCTTTGTCATGGAAAAAGTACAACACCAGAACCTTGTTACTTCAGTCAAACTTGTATAGCACTTTTATTTTTTTTTTTTAATGTTTTCCTGAGAGAATGTCTGGACACAGCTCCACCACGTGATTTGCCCTGCAGCTCCTCCTGTCTCCTTTCTGTGCAGCTTGTACCCTTGAACCCTGGGCTCTGTCTGTGCTGGGGTGGGGGGGGAGGGGGTACAATAGAATGAGGCTCCATGGGGAGTGATGAGAAGTGGGTCACACTGGGTGATGATTTCCTAGTGACCCTTTCACAGAACCCTGAACACTATGTGTATTGAATTGAATTTACACTGTGGTCATGCACACTTACATATAAGATTTGTTAGCGCATATATATATATATGTATATTTATATATATATGTATGTGTATATATATATATATATGTATGTATATATATATATATACAGTATATATGTATGTATATATATATATATATGTGTGTGTGTGTGTGTGTATATATATATATATATATACATATATATATATATGTATGTATGTATATATATATATGTGTGTGTGTGTGTATATATATATGCGTACAGTATACATATACAGCCTGACCGTTCATTTTGTGATTATCCGAAATACAGCTCTTTCTTGGAACAACAAGAGCTTGGTACTATGTGAAGAAAATATGCATTTTCTCCATCAGATTTAAGCAGCTATATTTCCTTTAGCTACTGGGAAGGAATTCAGCCCTCATAACTGTTCTGTGTAGCACATGTGAGTCTACAGAGAGACGGTTTGGAAATGACTAGGGGGTGAAGCCAGGGCCAAAATGTATGATGTCATTATTGCTATAGTCTCTTTTTTTTTTTTTTTTTGCTGGTTATCGATTTCAGTTTTCCAAATGAACTTTTTAAGTGAATGCTGTCTTCAGTGAATGGTGTTCCATGTAACCTGTATATTTTATTACAGTGTAATGTTATGCTGTCATTTTGTCTTTTCATTTTTGAAGTTCTCGAATGCGTTACTTGGACCTGGAAGCTATAGGTTTCCATGTGGCAGATTTGAGAGACCTTACTTTTATTTTAATACTGAAGTTGACATTGCAGAGATTTCTGCTGTTCTCCATCAGAATTTCTCAGTTACGTCCCTTTGGTGTCTCACAGATGTAATCGGGACACGGTTTGTGTTGTTCCGCGATCAAGGATAGCACTTTTGCGCACCTGCAGTTTTCACTGGAGAGGCGTGATTGCTGTTGGGTGTGGCCGCACTCGGTGTGACGTGCCCGGTTGGTCCCCGACGCGTTGAGAAGTTGCGAGGAGTGTTACCAAACTATGGCACAGCCAGAGGTGGAAAGTTCAGGTCCAGAAAGTACAAAACCCAGCCCTGATTTAGTTTCAACCAACCCTTTGTGTATGAAGAGTCAGTCACAGACTGCTCAACTGGTTGGCGAATGCGAAGCCTTGGTCTGGATTTGTACTTGCTGGAAATGAACACGCACAGTGGAAACCCTACTGTACTAATACCAGTGCTAGTCACAAGCCTGAGGAACTGCCAGAAGCTGCCTCGCTTTACCTGTCCGCACGTTTTATCGTAACCATTTCTGTAGGATGTAGTATATTTAATTAATTGAAAGACGAAAAAGTTGAATTCGACAAGCTTCTAAAGATGTAGCTTTGCACAAGTTAACTTTGCTAGTTAAAGCTTGTGTTCACCCCGCTCCTAAAAGGTACACACTCTTTCATCTCTGTACGTATGTAAAATACATTCACCTTCTTTATGTAAATATTGTTTGTACATAACTTTTTCCATATATGCATATATAGATGAACAATCCTTCAGCTATATATTCGGCATGAAATTACTGATGAGGTACTGATATGGGGCCACTAAGGACGTCGGTACCGTGACATTTGACTTGAGATTAGAATCATACAGTGGTGCAGTTCAGTAAGGACATATTCATTTGCCAGTTTTTGCTGTCAAAAGTATAAGCTAAGAAGAAATTGTAGATATCCTGTCATTTGTGAATGGTCGGGCTGGAAATGAACTAAAACATAGTGTCCTGTTACAAGCTGAAGCGAGGGCCTTAACCTGACAAAAAGGACCAGTTCTTTCTGCTACCCATACCGAAACCATGCTGTTCATTTGTAACGAAAATTGACCTATTTTTACAACTACAACTGTGTTACACTTCAGGAGGGTGGGTTTATGTTACAATGGAAAGCTTTGTTCAAGTTCCAATCGTAAATCTACTCATAAATCTCGGATCTTTTATTTTTACATGCAATACATGCATATAAAAATTCAATAACTATTTGCTATTACTTGTCAATAGATCACAACTCGCTCTTAAAATTTAACATCGGCACACAACGTATTAGAGGTCCGCTAAGACCACGTGATGATACTCTAAAACTTAAAAAAAAAAAAACAATAACAATCAGATTAGGTTAATTGCGTTTTTTTTTTTATTAAATAAAAGCACACGATGCCGTACGTGTATTTCTGTGTGGAGAGTGTGAAAAACCCAGCTGCAGTTACTTTGCAATTCTTGTTGAAACTTGAAGGTGACATGTGACATCTGGCGCTACATCGGAGTTGCTCAAAACAGAAATGCCACTGAAATGTTTTTTTTTTTCTTCATTATTATTAAAGCTTGTATGAAATAAGACGAGGATGAACAAATGACGACATGCGATTATTCTGCTCAGAAGTATACTTGTTTAAAATGACATTTACATGAGACTGCTTGCTGTAAACCCATGTGCATTAATCAGTTGATTAAAGATACTGCTGGAAAAAAAAACTTTACGTTTGCGTCTGTTAATCCTGGAAGTTTTCCTTTGATTTGTATATGGGTCACAAAACTGCTGACGATTAACTGGGCGGCCACAGGAGGGTGATATTACGCACAAATAAAATCACAGTTCGATACACGTGTCTCCGATAACAAAGCGGATAATAAGCTGACGCCTTATGCTATCAAACGTGTCGGAGAGAAATATATATTTCAGCGTAATAAATTCCAACTGTGATTGGCTGTAACCCAACTTGAGCATTACATCAAGATTTCTTTTTAAATTGAAGTGAAGCACAATTTTGGAACCTGGTCCAGCAAAATGGTTTGAGTTCATATGCCAGTTGTGAGCTTGAAAAGAGATTAATTAAAGGAAATATGCAGAAAATTGATAAGTTTCATCGTACATGTACAACGATAACGGAGATATTATATTCCATGATCTATTGTCAACAATATATACCTGCATTAAACCGTGCGAGATAAAGTTTCACGGCTACAATTTAAACATGCAAGTTAGCAAGTATGAAAAAGTAGTATGGTTTTCTAAAACGAGTATTTAAACCTCATTTGATACAGAAACGCAACAGATAATGTACATGAAGTAACAGAGACTTCTGAAACTGTAATCATTGGGGAATGACATGTCAAGAATATGTTCACACGATTAATGGTATCGACAAAACGAAAAGCTCTAGCTACCTCCTAACTGTAATAATCTAGGAAATGCTGTTTTTGGTGTTGTCTAAAATTATCTGCTATGTGTCCATTTCTTGAAGTTCAGTTTTTAATATATAAATAACCGGACATATTTCGGATCGGATATCTAAATGAAAAATGTATCATGTATGGCTTCCGTGATTTTGATACAACAAAAATCTTTTTACTTGTTTTTCATTGTAACGGGACGTGGTACCTTTAAGAAAAAAAAAGTTGGACATATTTGACTGTCCAATTAAAAGTTTCCATAAGTATGGATGTAGCCAATGAGAAGCGGGAGAGCTCTGTGTCTGGGGTTGGCACGGGCTCGCGGTGTGTGTCTAGGGACTGACTCGTTTTAGTATAGTGTCGCACAGTGTGTGTACTAGGAACAGTGCAACGTTGAGGAAAGTGGAGGCAAGACGTTAAATGGAGTCTACAGAAAATGGACCAAAGTAAACTCGATAGCCAAGTCATCATGAAGTCAGTTTAAGTAGTTAAGTGGGGAAAGTTTATATTGTTGTTTTTCTTTTTGGCTATATGACGCTGCTGGATTAAAACATAAAAATGTCTCAAAGAGTTCGAAGAAACGAGTCACCGACTTCCAACACTGGCACTGCAGGCAGTGCAACCGGTGGAGGTTCCGGCGGCGCTGGTGGTGGAGCAGGAGGTGCGGGAGTGGGTAACTCAAGCATGAGTCTGATAAGTCGCCTGCTGCCCATGAAGGCTACCGTTCCGTTTCAGCTAAGAGCTCAGGTTCAGTCACAGCCCCCCCTGCAGGCGAGGTCGTCGCATGGCGCCGACGGCGGATGCGGCGCAGCCACGCGCAGCGACGGCTGTAATGGCAAAGGAGGCGAAGCCGGCGCGCGAGCGCCTGCCTCGCTCAGCCGGAGCCCGACACGGGCCGCCGCCTCTACCAGCGCCGCGGCGCCGGTCTTTCCGTCAGTTCCACCCCATTCCTCTCCGCCGTCCTCCACGGGCACCCAGATAGGGCCGTCCGCCGCGCCACAGCTGAAGGCTAGCCCCATTATTACGCCAGGCGCCGCCGGCAGACCCCCCCAGCCGACATCGTCGTTTTCGGGTGCAGCCTCCCAGCAGCTCGCTTTACCCCCGACGAACGGCAGAGTCCCCGGCTACGGCGGCTCCCCGTGTCCCTCCCCCACGCAGCAGCAGCCCTGGCTTGCCGAATGCTCTCCGCCGACACCTCCCCTGCAGGCACCGCCGCCGCCTTCCGAGTTACCATCGTCGGCTGGCCACCGGGGCAGACTGCAGCAGTCCCCGGCCCAGCGCCGGTCCCCGGAACATGGCAGACAGTCCCCGGAGAGGAGGAGTCCCAGCTCGCCTCTCTCCAAAGGTATGTGGCTTCGGTAACGAGACGCTGGTGGCCGGCCGAGAGGTCAGGTCAGCTGACCGGGTAACTGCTGCGGTAAGTCGGAGAGGGAGCCGGACACTTCGGGAGAAAGCCCCAGCATGATTTACAGGCAGTGGAAGCGGCAGATGAAAAACACCCTGAACTTATTATTATTATTATTATTATTATGTATTTATTTACCTCTTTTCTGAAGCTGACAGTTCACCTGAGCGCAAAGGCTCCTGTTTGCTTTTTATGAAGTGGTTCACCGGCTGTTTTTGAAGCGCCTTCTCCAGCTAAGGACCTTAGCGCTTAGCAGCTGATTGGACGCCAGGTGTCTAGGATGGCAGTTTTCTCAAGTCGTGTTAATTTTCGAAAAGGTGCCCCACTAAAACCCAGAAGTCCTTCATCCGATTACTGGCCATCTCCCCTGTCATTGTTGCTTGAGCCCGATACTGGTATTGCACCCATACTGCGGTGTGGGGAGGCCCCTGAGTGCACAAAGCCTATTAGCCACAGGCCTACCATGTGCTGTGCAGTACAGGAAACTTTCCTTGAGAGGATGGGGATCGAGCCCAAAAGCACCTGCATCTTTTAGAGTTGGGGGTTCCTGGGCCTTATCATCGACAGGAACCAGCTGTGTTTACTATAGAGCAAAGTGCTGAATCCATGACTTTAGACATTAGACATTTTACATATTGGCGTTGGTTGATCCAACCATTGATTTCCAATCACTTGGCCAACTCATGGTTGTAGATGTGGGCTGGAATCTATCCCAGTTAGTATAGTGAATAGGGCAGGGGTACACCCTGAAAGGGATGCCAGTGTACTGGAGTTCATTTATACAACTATTATCTGTCTACATCTGAGGATTCCCGTGTGGAGAACAGTATGCCGTCCAGGGTTGGGATGTGTGACCTTGCAGTGACATGTTGTTTTACACTGTAGGAATGCACACTGCAGTTATGTAGACCCTCCTCCATTACTACAGTGGTTTCATGGCAAATCTTTCATTGATATTGCTGTAAATTGGCTGTAGCTACAGATGTTAAGGCTCTGAGTCTGGATGACTTTCTCTCCAGTTGTAGTGGAGGAACTGCCATCTGTGTGGTCCTTCTTTGACTGATCCTCTTTAATGAATGTTTTTGTGTGCTTTATAAGTGAAACAGAAGCAGAAACAGAAGCAGCTTTCACATTAAAAAAACATAAATATGGAAGAATTAACAAATAGTGCAGGTGACAGGGAGCGTGTATGGTCTGTCCTAGTAGTGTATGGAAATCATATTTACTGTGGATGGAGATGAGGTGTTCTCCCAGGGAAAAGTTTGCCCAGTGATCATAGCTTAAGCTCTGGTGGTTGACTCCCACAAGAAAACCACAGAAGTACTGTACCCCCGCCCCCCCCAGCTTGCATGCACATTAGATGCAGTGTTTTTATAGTTTAACAAAGACCATTTAGCCTGGATCGTGAGTCTGGACAGCAGGAGTATTGGTAGTAAATCATGCTTGTTTCCTTGGGTCTGAAATTTCAGTGGTGCATCAAGCAAATGTCGAATTTTGCTAATTTTTAGAATAGTACTTTTTGTTTGCAACTAAGAGGAGGCCATGGGGTAAACTCCTAAGCCAAACTTTTTGGTGGGTGGGGAGGAGTCGGCCCCAAACATCCAAGGCTGTCCTTTCGCCCCCTGAGAAATCGGCTACCCTGTATGCCCTGTGTTGATGAGAGCAGTTGGGACACCCTTCACTTTGGCTGAGATTGCCCTGCCAGTCACTCGGCCAGCAAGATCCCAGAGAAGAGAAAACAAACCATGGCATAGTCTGAATTTTCTGCCTTCCCTGTTCAGGCATGTCCCTCCCCCTCCTTTCCATTGTGAGCCAGTGGTTTTATTCATATCCTCGGAAAATACTGTTATTTTCCAGATGAGCATGCATCCCTTGAATACTGAGGGGAGGGAGGGAGAAGAGGGCATAGACAAGCAGGGAAAGGGTGGCGGAGCTATGGGAACCTGCAGGGAAGGGAGGAATCAAAGGGGGGGGGGGTGCCAAAGGACACAGGCGTCCGCCACAAACAACATAATGGACCTGACCCAGTGATAAATGTCAGTTTTCCGGATTATGGGACTTGTGGGCGTGTTCCTTTATTTTTGCCTGAATTGAATCACTTTAGTGGTTTTGAACGCTTCCGTTCATTGAAATATTTCATCGATGAAAACACGTTTGTTGAGATTTTGTTTTTATCTTTTGAAATGGCCACCTCACTCTCCCTAAACTGCTCTCTTCCTCCTCCTGCCGCCCTGAGAATGGGGGTAGGCACCCAAAACCGAGTACTGCACACACTGTACCTCTTAGCCAGGTATTTATCCCAAATTCCTCCAGGCTCTAGCTGCTCAAGTCAAACGGTAAATTATAGTTGTTTTATGTGAAATACTGCAAGTGATTAAGTCTGTGAACAATAACTGGTGTGGTGAAATCATAGGAAGTAAGACAGTTCTGTGGTGGGGTAGTGACGGGATGGATCAGGGCAGGGCACGCTGGGGGCAGGGTGAGACCAGAGTCAGGCTTCCTGCCCCGTTGGCTTCTGAGTGAAAGCACAGTTCCTGCCAGCGATGTGCTCCGGGACCCGTCCAGCCAGCCTCTCAGGAGAGTGGAGGTGGCTGCTGTTTGCTGCTGTGTCTCCACATTGGCAAAGTACCGATGATGTACTAAACGTGCAGAGTCATTGGCGGGCATGTGGGCCACGCTGACTGTTTCCTTTGAACAGGCTGTCAGTTCCCTGTCTCTTAACAGGCAGTCTTGATGACATCATAACATAATGGACCCATTCAGATGAGATTTGGTTTGTTGTTCTGGGAATGCTTGTTTTTGTAATATTGTGGGTTTAAACTTGTTTATTCACTTTCATGTTTTTCAGTATTGATGTGGAATTAGTAATTACCTCTCAGTTGGATGTAATATGCGTAATATGAAGCACCCACAGTGCCAGACAAACAGGTTGTGTATGTGAGAGGGGGAGAGAGAGAGCATGGTGTCTTCTCTTGTTCTATCAGGTTTGCTGTCCCCCACTGTGGTCTACTCAACCCCCTTTTAAACCCATTTGGATTTTGCTTGTGGTTCCGCCTTGTTTAATTTCGGAAATAAAAATAATCTGTTGACAATAACTCTCCACATAAAGTGATTCATAGGTTCTTTTCCCAGCTTTCTTGATTAGGTCTTTAACAATGTAAACCTTATTCCAGTAATGTTTACTTCTGGGTATTTGAATGGTTAAGCACCATTTTGTGCTTGACTGTAGAATTCCATGCTGGGATATTCTTAACCACTGTCCCACATGCTTCTCCAAAACACAACATATATGTATATATCTCAAAAGACCAGATCAGAATTGGCTTTTATTAATATTGAAAGGATCAGATTGGGCTACCAAAAATGTGGATCGGGACATCCCTAGGAAAAAACACGAATCACAAATATTATTAAATATTACTATATTACCCAATTCTTTGAGAGTTCTTTCAAACTCTGCCCGCCTCTGTTGCTGTACTGTGAAATAGCTTTCTCCATTCCTCCTATACTCTTCTGTTATTGCCATAGTAAATAATAGTATTTTCTTTATAACTGCTGACTACACACGAATGCGGTGTGGGTTTAAAAATGTCATTTATTTCTGTGGTTAGAACATTAAACAGAAGAAACATGAGCATAACATTGACACTTGGGGAAATAAGAATCAGTTTGAGTAATACTTTGTATTTTATTTCAACCTTTACCTTTGAAATGAGAGAGAGAACTGGAGTGTAAAGCACAGGACTGTAGACCAAACAGTCTCCGCCGTGGGAGAAGTAGAGCAGATAAAACAGCTCTTGTCATAAAAGTGCTTAAGCTGGTCTGTGATCAGCAGACTGTTGCTCCTAGGTCCCATGTGTTGTTTTTCACGGATACGTTTCGAAGGGACTGTGTTCTGTTTGTAGCGTGGTCCTCTGAATTGTCTCAAGTATCTATTTCTTTTCCCTTCATTGATTTGTAGAAGTTGTTGGCACCAGATCAAAATCAGCACTGTGCCAGAACATGTTAACACTTCAAATGGACAGAGATGCTATGTATTGATAAGTCTGGCAAAATTATGCAGTCCTGAGATAAAGAATGTACACGATCCCCTATGAAGGCAAGACTTCGTCAGTTTCAGCAATGCAATATTGAAAGTTGAACTTTTATATGATTTAGATTTTATAGTGCTTTATACAATTTATGCTAGTTAGTGCCATTTATTTAGTTGAAAGAGATGTCCCAGCAGTGTGACTACATCTGACCTCATGTAATGCGTTTTCTGTTAGTAAGCCATGAGCGCTGCTTTATTCTCTGGTATTATGTAGCAGGAACCAAGGACGTCCTCAGATCAGCGTGGGCCGTTAAATAACGAACACCTGTTACCTCTGGGTGAGGCCACCCCCTTTTATTCTGTGAAATGTTTGCACATGGAAGTGATTGCTCTGCTAAGTTTTACACCAGGCAAAACTGAAGTGTTTAATTAGTAAACGGCCTAGAGGAAAAGCAGGGATTCCTGTGGCGTTAATTACACACGGCGGATTATATAGTCTACATGCTATCAGTGGTTGCGCTATCATCATGGGCGTTGAGCGTGGCAGCTTGGCAGGAGTGGACCCTGTCACATGGTCCCGTACCGCTGCCTTGTGGTGAATGTCCTGGGAGGGTCTGGGTTAACTCGCATGCCCGTGTGATGAAGGTCACAGCCGCCATCACCTTCCCGCCTGCGCTTCCTGAGCTCAGGTGTACCCAGCTGTGAAGGGGAATCTGCTTGAGTAACCTGCTTGTTCAGCAAGTGCCCCGTTACCCCAGCCTGGGAGAAAGGCGCAAGACCCTCCCCACATGCCACAGGACTCAGCCATGCTGTAAACCTGTTCTGCAGAGAGGCATGATTTAGTCCCATAAATGCCTCCTCAGAACAGGCAGTCCTGCTATACTTTCACAGTGGTGGTGTTTTTGGGGCATTTTTCCTTCCTAAACCCACTCACGGAAACTTGAGTTTGGAGGACTTGTTGGTCCTCCTGCCACCCATGGTGTGTGTACAGTATGCTTCATCTGCGCAGATTTGTTTAGCTTCTCTTCCGCTTGCAGACATTCCTGATTCCCAGATGGTCCATCTAAAAGTGGTGTGATCTCTGTGTCTGTGTTCGCTGTGCAGTCAGCTAATGGGAAAAAAAAAAAAAAGTCGGGGGTGGAGGTCTGGAAGGAAGCTGATGGGCAGCGGGCCGGTTGGGAGGTGCAGTGTTGTCTTTGTGCACGGAGCGAGCCACGGAGTTACTGTGCTGTTTCTGCACGTCTGTCAGTGGGCCACCAGGGTGACGAATAAAATAGCAGGGTTTGTGGTTTTCCTTCGGAGGGAAGGCTTTAAGTGGAGCATGTGATAGAAACGGAGAAGAGGAGCTTGGTGGACTTGTGGAACCAATGGGACAGGAATAGGGGGGAGGTGTGGGAAGATGAGGGGGGAATAGGGAGGGGTGATGGGGGTAATTACCCTTGGAGTTTAAAAAAAAAAATGTAGGTCACGACGAGCGAGTTTCTCCCTGAAAGCCCGGCCCGGCCCCTGCTGATCTTTAAATGTGGGCGGTTGGCATGTTATACTACAGGCCCAAGACCAGACCTGCCGACTGCGCCTTTCTGAATGGGTAACGGTAACTGAGCAGATTAGGCTCCGATTGAGCGCTTTAATCCCGAGCGGTTGACGTCAGGAGAGATGTTATATGAGTCATACACCCAAGGATACAATAGCAGGGCCCTTCTTGCGTCTAGAGCCAGCAGACGCTCCTGCAGTAGTATGGTAGGGCTCTGAATATATTTCAATGTTACAAATTCTGCAAGATACAAATTCTGCACATACAACTGTCTGAATTCTAATAAAATGCTCTCCTTCTCTTGCTCTCCTCTCTTTCATGCCATCCCCTCCACGTGCAGAGAAGGCACGGATCCCGCCAGCATCTCCTCTGTACAGCTCCTGCTGCTCCTCCAGCATCCGACGAACCTCCTCCCTGGACACGCTCACGGGGCCCTACCTGTCAGGACATTGGCCTCGGGATGGGAGTCACGCCCAGTGTGCACCCTGCATGGTGGACCAGACCACTCAGGTGAGCCTGAGCCTGCCGACCCACACGTGCTGGGATGAGGAAGCGTCTTGCAGTAATGCAAAGGGTGTGGGCCGCCGTTACCAGGCTGTCTGAGCGGCCATCTCAGGGTCCGTCTGTCATTGTTTACAGTGTTTTAGTGAGTGACCCAAAGGGCTGGTAGAATCTGTTAGACTCTGCAACATAAAAACTGTGAAACTTAACAGACGCAATCAGGCTTAGTGGGTATGTATACTCAGCCGACGGGCTACCTGTTTGACTCCTAAACCCCGTGGAAAACAAACATTTCCAAACTCGGAGTGTTCCTCTTGTCAGGGAGATTTAATATACTTGTGGTGTTTACATCAGAGTTCCTCAACCCAGTCCTCGGGGAGCCTCAGACGGTGCATGTTTTTGCTCCCTCCCAGCTCCCTGCCAGAACTAAAACGTGGACTGTCCGCGGGTCCCCAAGGACCGGGCTGAGAAACACTGGATCTACATGTATGAAATGTACAACAGCAAAGAACCAAGTCTCTTTTCCCCTCATTTGTTTGCTATATAGTGTAATGTTGTAGTGGTTCAACTTTGTGTGTGTGTGTGTGTGTGTGTGTGTGTGTGTGTGTGTGTGTGTGTGTGTGTGTGTGTGTGTGAGAGAGAGAGAGACCAGTGTGCACTCCGCTAGGGACGCTCTTTGGAGGTTATGGACCCCCGAGAGGTGTTCGGAGTATGGGACTGAAAGAGAGATGGACAGAAATGAAACATGAGAGAGGCTCTGGACAGATGGAAAGGAAGGGTGGAGGAGGCCCAGTGCGCTGAGAGACGGACGGATGTCGGGGCGTTTTTCTGGCAAGGCTGGTCCTGAGCCAGACTGATAGCTACATTCTTTCCCAGAGCGTTTTCCCTCTGTCCCCTTTTGGTCAAAGCGAAGGCGTACCCCCACCGCCCCCAAACCATTGCCTAAAGCATTGTTAAGTTTTAAAAGGCAGATCGTTCTCCGTCTTCTCTCATGGTTATCCCCTCTCTTGGTCTCCTGGGAGGCTGTGAGCTGTTTGTGTTTCTGTTTGCTCTCTCTTGTTTTGCCAGCAGGACTGTGGCTTTTCAGCCTTCCTCTCTCCTCTCCTGTCTTGCTTTCACCTCTTTGCTTTATCCTTCTGTTCCTCCTCCTGTTCTTTGTCTCACCCTTTTTTTGTTGCGCTTATGGGCCCTGTGTGTGTGTGTGTGTGTGTGTGTGTGTGTGTGTGTGTGTGTGTGTGTGTGTGAGCCAGGATTTACCATCAGATAGAAACTCAGATGAACACTTGAATCATTTTAAGAAACTAAAACCTTGATCAGTGGTCCTCGGAGTTTCTGAGAGTGGGATTAGAACTGATTCGTGGCATTAAATGCACACTGAATGACAGGTTTCCACAATGACTGTGGTGAGTGTGTGCATGCCAGTAGACCTTTGATCTTCTTCACTGTCTCGGCCTTTTGTGCATTTGCGTTGACGTGGTCCGTTGTGGTCGCGATCAAGCTTTCTGTCATATACCCCATTCAGACACGGCTGTCTGTTTTGATGTCGCCCACTGCCTGGGCGCAGTGCCTCTTCCCAGGGGGCCGTTGTCATGAACGCTACGTCCTCAGATGGCCTGGGGCTGCTGCCGTGGATCCCATTCCTCCATCTTCCCTCAAATGCCCTGCACAGGGGGCCATAAAGAAAAATGATCGCGACCAAGAATGTGGAATTTGGAAGACATCCGCTGGGTTTGGTCCTGGGAGCCTCCTGCCAAAAACAACTAGACCAGCGTGATGTGCTAGTTGCCATGGCGGTGCACTGGTGCGCCTGGCGACCACACAAATAACCCTGATAAAGTAGCTCGCACAGTGAAGCCCTTCACGGCCCCTTAGCTCAGCACTTTTTATGTGTGCACACGCATATGCAAAAACACAACAGGTTCACTTCAGCTTTAACAGGGATATTTTGCTTAATGCAGTTTGTTGGAAGGTAATTAGCCCAGGGCTGATCAACACCAGTGAGTCTTATTCGTTGTCAAGGAAAAAAAAAAAAGTAATGTTTATATATATCATTGACATGCTCTAGACTTCATATCCTTTTCAGTCTTCCATAAGAGATCTTCTGCAGTCTCACTAATGAAAGTAAGCCAAAATGTGATCAGGCCCTCAAACTAATTTAGAGAACTGTGATTTGATGATGATGATGAAAACCCTTTATTGCTGTTGCAATACACCATGTCACCAGTCACAAGTACCAGTGAAAAACTGGCCATCAACCTGACCATACATATACAAACATCACATTATAGGGGGTAGACAGGTCAGGAAGACGGGGGATATAGGAAGAACAGAGAAAACAGAATTACATGAGGAGAGAGGAGGAGAATAAACAAACAGCCCCCAGACTGTACTCCAGTAGGGAGTACAATGTAGGAACAGAAAAAAAAACACCTCAGCAACATAAACACATAGTCACTACACCTTACAACATAAAACTTGCAACAGGGGAGGGAAATGGGGAGGTGGAGGTAGTCCAGCATAGACAAACAGCCATCCAGTCCTGCAGCCAGAGGCGCTGGTCACAGACCCACCTGTTCACACTGGGGGTATGAAGCGGTGGTGATTTAAAGTTAGAATAAATGTTATGCCTTTGGAGCCCCCCCCCCCAGCCCTGGTCAGCCTTGAAATAGTCTGAAATTGAAGCAGAGCTTCACTCACGGGGAGTGGTGGAGCAGAGCTGGGAAACGGAGGTGGCTGTGCACGGCCTTTTCATGAGCTGTCAGCTGTCCCCGAACGATCTCTCCCAGGGGACGTGAGACTGTGTGTGTGTGAGCACACGCACACACACACACACGCTCGCGCGCAGCAAGCTGTACAGCAGTGTTATTTAACCCCATGCAGAAGCGGGAGGGTTTAGGATGTCTGGGGGAGAAAACTGCCATCCACGCTAATGCAGGTGCTGCTCAGCTGATCCTCTGCTCATCCGGCTCCTTCCCCGGAGAGGAGTGTAGGGGAGAGAGAGAGAAAGAGAGAGCATGGTGTCATCGCAGCAGCACTAAAGAGCCGGATGGTTTTGTGAAGTCATCTGCCATTGGCAGGTGCCACCTGAAGAGACCCTTTTATGGTAATGACCAACAATGGGGGCCCCGGGCCCTCAATGGCAGCCTTCAGAAGGAAGGGCCCCACTGAACGGCACGAACAAAGGTCCTTTGAAGACTTTAAGTAGATGGGTACTAAAATCAAGGGTTACTTGAGTTATACAGGAACATGGGTCCTGGCGCCATCATGGCCGCCAGTTCAACCCTCGCAGTTCGAAACACAATCGCTCATCAGAAATGAAGAGCCTGCGTCATGAAATTGTAACTAGGCCTTTGTGTAACCGTTAAACAGATCACCTGTGATGAAGTGGACCTTTTATTAATGTGTATACACACACACACCATGTGACATTCACCCGGATAAGATAACACAGTGGCTCAGTAGGTGGTGTCTTTTAACCAAGAGTGATTTACGGTTCATGCGGAAGTTTAGTTTGGCACTGAACGGTGCTTTTACACAACGGGGCAGTTTGGGTAATGTGCTGGGCTGATGGGTACAAAGCCGGGGTGCTCTGGGAAACCAGGCCAGAACGCTGTTCCTCTATCTGCAGGCCCACATCCTTATCTGCTGACCCTTCCTGTTGGATGCTAAATGCTAAAAGCCAACAGCGGCAATGTATCATTATCAGTGATTGTGTGGAATAAGGATCCCCCCCCCCCCCAAAAAAAAACATTCCCTTTTAAAAGGGGGCTGTGAAACTTAGCTGGTAAAAATCTCTACTATTTCCAGCCATAGACCTTTCGTTGGTGTTGAAGATTTCATAGGTTTGAGTGTTCACAGATGACACGTGATGTCACGGGCTTGCAAGTCTTTTCTGTTCACCACCGCCCCCCCGCCCTGTCCTCACAATAGGCTGTTTGTGTTCAGGGCTAATTTGCACTGATGTAGCCACGTACCTGGATAGGCTGCTAAATGGACACCCCGCAAAGCAGCCATCTTTCACCAAGGCTCTGAGAAACCCCTGTTCCCTCAATGGAGACTTCAGGAGTCCCCTAATATCTAAATGACCCTTTTTTATTTGTCTGGTTTGCTTTATGGTATATTTCAGTATGTGTCATGTACTATGCGATGGGCTGTCTCCCTCCTATTCCCTCTGCTTAAGACACCACAAACTGTGGGTATCCTGATGGAAATACTGCCAGATCTTTAATAGCGGGGCATGTTCCTGTTATGCGGCACATGGAAAGAGAGGTTCTGGGCATGAATGGTCAGCAGGCTGTCCCTCTTCAGTTAGCCCAAATCTTACCCGGCCCAGCAGCAACCCCCCACCATCCACACAGCTGGTGAACAGAGCACCGTTTGTGCCTGGGACCGTGGTGCTTGACTGGAAACCTTAAACCGGTGGGAAGGAGGAAGCGATGCACGGCTGTGTCCCAGGCCTCCGACGGGACCTGCACCGCTGCTCCCAGCGCCTCGTTCCCCTTTCCTACCTCGACTGCGAGTGCGGTGTTCAGGCGGCATGTGGCAGGCTGTGTTTGCCTGCTCTGCAGAGGAGCGGCGCAGATAAGCTTAACTGTAGGTTCTTATATCCACCTGCCTCTGTCAGTCTGTTACTCTGAATGCAGCTGCGGGAAATGGAGCAGCCAGAGCAGAAGCGCGCTTCCCCAGCTGTGATATGAGGGGACGTGGATAAAAGGGCCTGAACCAAGCCCAGCCTCGCATGATCTCTATGTACGGACAGGAGGAGTCAGGAGCTGTTCCCAGGGCGATCCTCGAGGAGGAAGTAGCTGGTACCATGCTGTTATGGGGGAGAGATGCTGGGAGTCAGTCTGCCGCAGCAACTGGAAGAAAGAGCACTTTTCATGGGCTGCACCGCCACGCAGCCTGCAGTCCAGAGCTACTGCTGGGCTTCCGCTGTCAGACTGCTGTATGGCAACGGGAAGTATTAATATCACGCTTTAACTCCCCCCCCCCGCCCCACCCCCTCCCCCCAAAGAATTAGTGACATGCACAGGCATGTCTGGAGGCGAGCGAGAGAGGGTAAGGCCAGACAAGCCCAGTGTTGTCCCTTGTACCCTTGTAGTCTTTAATGGCAGTTTAGCGTGTGCAGTTTATGAGGAATATATGACGGTGCTGGGAATGCAATTAGCATGGCTCAGGTGGATCAATCCCGAGAGGCACAGCAACGTCAAACAGATCCCCGTTTGGAGCCGGGCCTGTTTGCCCGTCGGCCTCTCATGCCTGTTCCCGTGTTAGTGGCCTGTTTCAGCGGCCGGCCCTGCCCTGTTTTCCCAGCTGTGATAACGAACTCTGCCTGACATCCCCCAGGCCTTAGGCTTCCTCCCCGCTCCGCGTTCAGGATGCTTCTCCCCTGACCCGCTCATCGGAAGCCCTTTATCTCCGCAGGCTTTTAAAATAAAGAATAGAAACCCGGAAGACAGACTAGTACTCCTAAACTCCCGAGCGTGCAGAGCGAGACTCTCTGGACAGACACTATGCTGAGGGGCAGGAGGGGGGTCCGTGCTGTGCCCTGCTGACCACCCAGCCTGCCCCCCTGTAGGACGCCAGTCTGAGTGCCAGCGTCGGGCTCTCTCGCTTCTGTGAACCCCACTAATCCCCCCCCCCCCCCCCAGACTTGTGCCCCTCTTCACTGCGATGGTGATCACGGCTCCCCCGTGCCTGTCACTCACGCATCTCCCAGGCTGCCTGCCACACAGACGCCCTGATCTCCCAGCACCTCCCTGGCTTGCTCCTTTGGGACTTGCCAAAGCGTGGAGGCGGAGCGATGGGGATGAGCACGGGGTCACAGCCTCCCCCCGATTCCCTGGGAATCAGGGTCACGGTCTCCAGAAAGCTTCACTCCCATGAGGACCCCCCGCCATGCCGAGCTCTGCATCCGCCCCGCCCTCCGTCCTCTTCAGACGCCTACACAGCAGCGGTGCTCTGGCTACCGTGGCGACCCATGCTTACTAAGCATGACAGCTTTGTGGGGGGGGGGGGGGGCAGGGCGTCGTGTCTCAGCTTCCTTCCTAGCCCAGGGGGCCCCGTGGCTGGAGCTCTCGCACGCAGCGCCAGGAGACATCCACACCGGCCGCCGGTATTCTGTCTGCCCCATTCCATTGTTTGCTGGCTTTAAAGATTCCCCTTACAGTTACCTTTCTATGCAGCATCTGCCAGAGGAAGAATATTCTGGGTGTTTGTTTTTTTTTTATTGTGTTGTGCCCCCCCACCCCCAAACCCCCACTGGGCTTTCAATGACACTCTAGTTAGCCCCAACCCCAGGGGGTCACGCTGGAGATGTTTTGTGACGGCCTGTCTACGCTCATCTCCAGCCTGCTGTCCAGCTCGCCGTCCCCAGTCTCGCAGGGCCCAGCCACCGTGTGTGACTCCCGCTGCCGTGTTTGTGTGTTGGGGGGGGGGCTGGGAAGCTGACATGAATGGGCTGACGAATGTTCACAGGCCAAATCCATTAGCAAGGTGTTTAGAAGCAGAGACGGGAGATGGCCCCGCCCCCGCGGCCCCCACACTCCGCGGCCCCACGCCGCCGCCGCCGCACATGCTCTGTTTGCACTTATTTGCGATCCTGAGCTAACACACTCACTTGTGAACAGTGCTGTGCTCATTTCTCTCTCATGGATGAATGTTTTCAGCTCACCCCCTATACCCCCTCCTTCCAGACTCCCAGTGCCTGGGCAGATGACCCTTCGGAGAAGAGGAGGGGCTCCCATAAACGCTCGGCCTCCTGGGGGAGCACCGACCAGCTTAAAGAGGTCAGGGAGACGCTCCCCCCCCCCTACAGCCTGCCTTTGTGTCGCATTCAGAGAGGCCACAGCAGTGTTATCCCACAATCCCACACTTGCCCTGCTCTGTGTGATCGTGGCTGAGGGCGGCCTGGGGGGGTCATTGTCATATTAATCTGCAGTGGACTGAAAGCTGCTTCCCCAGTGTCATCTCTCATTTCATGCCCCCCAAGTCACATCCTTACTGCATGTTTCCTCACTTCTTACTTTATATGTTTTCTTCCGTCCTCATACTTATGTAGCCAGTAAACCGTTTCCATGACGTTCCACTGCATTTCCAGTCTGTCCCAAGACCTGGCCTCTCTCTCCAGTCCGGATGTCCACTGTTTATTTTCCCTTTTTGGAAGGGGGGGTATATCAGATGAGGGCTTTTCCACAGTTTCCCCCCCCCCCCCTATTCTTTAATCTTTTTGTTGCCTCCCCCCCCTTTTTTTTATCCCCCCCTCCCCCCTCTCTCCCCCCCCCCCCCCCCCCC